TCTCGCATGCTAAGCGAGCGCTCTACCATATGAGCTACATCCCCATGTTTGGATTAACATAATTAAACCACTTTAATCATTTGTTAGACAAATTGACATATGTGTCTTTCTCTTAGATCTGTTTTTTCATCGTAATTATCGTTTTTTGAACGTCACTGACATAGTCGACAGAGAATCAGCAAATAGAAAACGTACCAGTAAATTATTTTAGTATAATACGACAGACACAAACGATATAAAACAATTCTTATAGAATATTTTTAATAAATTAAAATCCGAAAATGAGGATTGTATTGCGAAAGGCTTTTGACAATCAATGGAATCAATTCTTGTTGATCAAGTGCGTATGTCTTTTCGAAAAAGTTCTATTTTAGACTTTTATTAACATTTATATTCGTAAATATGGAAATGATCAGTTTGACCAGATGCTTCAATTCTTAATTATATCGTACACCTTCTATAATATATAAGAAAAATATAATTGTTTTTTTACCAGTTATAATACCTAAGTATTGCTGATGAGTTGCTATTGTTTGAATTATATATCCTATACAAAATCGAAATAACCAAGAGCTTTCGTATGTTGTTTCAAACATCATTAACGATTGATAGTGAATAACTAAGTATGATCAAAATAATTTCAGCAAAATGTTCTACGGAGGTCCTTGATTATTTTCGTTTCGCACAGGATAGATAACTCAAACAATAGCAACTCATCAGCACTACTTAAGTACTATAATTGGTAAAAAAAGTTCATATTTTTCATATATATATTATCAAAGGTATACGATGTAACAAAGAGGATTGGGACACTGAACCATACTGATCATCTCCATATGTTAACATATTTTTGATTATACTCAAATGGACAATCTTTTATCAAAGATATCTTTCGAAGAACATGGAGAAATACGAATAAAAAAAAGATTCTTCTTTTTTCATTGATAAATTTTTTGAAGAAATGATAACTATTTTCTTTTAGGATTTCAAAATTTCAACGATTTCAAATAAAACCGAACATATTCTCATAATTAAATGATTATTGACAGCTGACAATAGAATTTTTGTCATCGAACAATTGATTAATGAATAAATGTAAGTCTTTACCCAAGATAATAATATATCTTTAGGAATTGATTGATAAAGACGAAAAATTCTAGGAAGAAAAATGAATAAACAAGTCGCAATCAGTAATATCGATTTTCTTGACATATTCGTAAAAATTTTTTCTAAAAAAAACAAATCATCAAGACATATTACCACCGTTGATTTATTGAAAAATAAAATGAACGAAAGCTAAAAGTTTTATTCAAATAAATTTAGAGCACATTCAATTCTATCTAAGAAATTAAATGTATCTCAAAGATTGATGTACTCATAATTCATATATCGGTCATAATCATTCAGAAATATAAATGATACTTATAAATGTTGCGCTTTCTAACATGATTGAAGATAAACTAATGTATATTTCGTTTTTAAAATAAATTCGATAGATCTATAGGTACTCTTCAAGCACAGTATCAGTTTCTATATGCTTCACAGATAAGATCTTTCAAAACAGCAGAAACTTATTATCAATTTGCAAGATTATCCCCTTAGATAGTCTGTTTTCGCAGATGAACCGACCAGTATATTGACAATATTTAAACAATATTCAACAGTCCTATTAAAAATTTTAATTTAGCAATAATTAGCAACACATCGCTAATGAACTGATATATATATAACTCGTTTATAAGCGGAAGAAGATGTTTTTAACCTGCGAACCCCTGGAAGGCAGTATGGGGATAAGGCAAAAATTATTTTTCCAATGAATATGAGATATTTATAGGTTTTTCTAGAGATTCATACATAATTCAAACCTGGTTGTTCAGAACAAAAATTTGAAAAAGAAATAATAAAAATAACGGACTTCCCTTCCGCAACCAATTTCTCATGCCCCCCTTCGGTGGTCCAGAGGCCAAAAAAATGTTTTCTGTTTGTGAAACAGTTATTTATGTCAGCTCATTAGAGATATTCTGTTGAATATTGTTTAAATATTGTCAATATACTGGTCGCTTCATCTTCGAAAACAGACTATCTGAAGGGATAATCTTACACGTTGATAATGAGTTCCTGCTGTTCTGAAAGATTTTATCTGTTAAACATATAGAAATTGATACTGTGCTTGAAGAGCACCTATAGATCTATCGAATTTATTTTAAAAACAAAATGTACATTAGTTTATTTTCGAACATGTTAGGGAGTGCAATATTTATCAGTATCATATATATATTTCTAAATGATTATGGCCAATATATGAATCATCATCAGCTCAAGCTGTGAGGTAAACTTGGTTTGTTATATACCATTGAATGTGTTCCTAATTTTCCCTACAGCACTACATATATGGTATCCGGATTGAAGATAGATCACAAAGTTCTGTGAGATGTTTATTAAGAAAAGAAATAATTCAACTGTTTAACTAGGATTTTTTTAGTTGTCTTATTGATTTTTAATTGATAAATAGTATAGTCAAATATTCAAATGATTGTTCTATTACGAAAAACAGTAGTTAAAATAATGATTGTTAATAAATAATGAACATAATTTTTTTTCTGTAGTAAATATTCCCATATTAGACGAATCATTTATATATAAAGCAAAGAAAATAATCTATTGATGAAAAATTATTCTTTTCTGATAGTTCATAAGGGGTCAAATTTTTTCAATTGAAACCTTAGAAGTTTTTTTGTTATAGTTATTAAATATTTTTGAAAATTGATATAATATTCTTTTCATGGATGCAGTTTTTTATAGACGATCTTCACACATCGTTAAATGATAAAAAGTCTTGATGTATACCTAGAATATGTTTTGAATAAATTTCATATACTTTTTTTTTTCTTGATTCTTGAAAAATATTTCTATAAGAAAAAGACAATTGTATCACTTTATTAAAATCAAAAATAAAGCCGAATGAAAGTTCGTAACATTACTTGAAAAATTTAGTCTATTTTTTAATATGATTTAATTTATTTCACGAGAATATTTCTTCGAAAAAAAAAAAGATATCAATTTAAAAGAAGTTAAAAAGTGCAAATATTGTTTCGATGTTTTATTTAGTTGAACGTCGAATGGCATAATCGATCATTTATTTTAATATTAAAAGACTTTTATTTTCCGTTTTGCTTTGATAGGAGACGTTTATCAATTTTTTATAAATGATTTCTTAAAGTATCTTAATGTAAAATTAAATAGAAACGACCGAATGAACAATAAGAAATCATGATTGAGCATTAAAAAACACATTTAATAGATGTTTATTTCTTTGAATTTCTCGTGAACATTTAAATATTTTCTTATTTAAAAGAAAACTATTATATTTACTCATAAAATAATACATAAAATTAAATATAAAAAAAAAAAGTCGGATTTATCAATAGATATTTTATTTGTTAAATAATAAAAATAATTGTGTGATCGTGATTAGAATTCAATTCAATTCAATCAATTTATATGAAATGAACATATTTATTTGTTAAGTACAATGTCTATTATCTACTTTCTTTTTTTTGCTTATTGACAAATGTTAAAATTGATTCATATTATTAAACACAATATTGTTATGATATATAAAAAATTGCAAATCGAAAAACATAGATGACGGACGGAAATTAAAATAAAAATATAATTTATAATTAGTGAGCATAAATTATATTGAAAAAATCAAAAGAAAGAAAATAAAGAAAGATTCATGTGACTGGTTAATGAATAAAAGCAATTATGAAATGTGTTATTGTCATGAGAATTTGATATGATTGTTGAGATTTCTATAAGACAACAACCTAGAGGTCATTGTATTCATTTTTCTAAAGAATACAAAAATGAAATATGATAATGACTACCTAATGTCACATATGATTATTATTTTTTTGCTTGAAAGATTTTCTTTGATGTCTGATTAAAGGAAAAAATAATCAACTAGAGGAATTCAGGGCAATATTATACCGACTATTTTTTAACAAACCTACGTTTATTATCATTCTTTTTATGCTTTTTTTTTTTGTCACTCTTCATAAAAAAAAAGTACTTTTATAAAACATTTATTTTGTAAGTTTGAAAATTTCTTTGAAAAAATGACTTACAATTTTTTGTTTTTGAATTTTATAATATAATTTGTTAAAGTATGTTAATGAAACTATATTAAATTAAATTCTATATGATGAAATTGATAAAAAAAAAAGAAATATTTAACAAAAGAAAAATATCTCGATATATGTGTTATG